GCGTCGAGTCTCGAAGGAATTGTTGATTCTATAAATTTTTGGATACAGCACTGTAAATATAGACACCGAGAGAATATCTTGGCACAATGAGACGGTTATCAGAATATGAACGGATAAATTGTTGGAAGTTTCTAGCACGAAACTGTGAAAATGTGAAATACACGTTGGATGGAATTTTCTCTGTTGCGAAATACGCGCTGTTCGATAGGATCGGACTGGATACGAGGAGGAAAGGTAGCGTTTCATTTCGACACTGTACGAAAGAAGATCGTTTCCGTTGACACATCCGAGAGCAGCACGGAATAACGTAAATTTAGACGAGCCACGAGCAGCTTGAAAATTTGACGAACGCATTAATCACGGAATCGTTGAAAATTGCGGTTTAACGAGTAAATATAGAAGCCACGAACGCCTATGTACAATGCATAATGGCTGTATTGAAGCATCGAAACGCGGGATTATAGACAGAGGACGGGAGGATACTTGGCACGACGCGTGCGTTACCATAACATTGTTCAAACATTAGGTACAATTTACAATAAAAATTTTTAAAAATTCTAAAAATGTTCCAACTTTCTAATGTAAAATTTGAAGAATGAATAACGCGTTAATTTTTGAATGAACGAATATACGAAAAAATGGTGGAAAACGGTAATTAAGAGCGATCGATCGCGGCACAGTGAAGGAAGGCGCCGCGAAACCGGAAGTGGAGGACCACCGGGGCGGTGTTTCTGTGAGAACTCGAATCGAAGATAGAGTTACAGCTCTGGTAAGAGCTTAAGGGAACTTAAGAAGTCGAGACAGCCACGATTTTATTGCTCCAATGCAGGAAACGCAGCGGCCACTGACTCAGCCGCGTGACGCACACCGATGCAACGAGTGGCGATCGTGGCATATCGAGACGCGTTGCCAGCCGTTCGTTTAATTCCATCCAAGTAACTCGCGAGACGCACGCATCGTGCTCGTGATCCGACTACACATGTAGGGAACGTTTTCGATCGATTTTTGAATTATTTTTGTATCAGCCAAAGCGAAAAGTCGAAGAAAATACTATAGTGAGAACATAATGGTCCTACTAAAAAAAAAAAAAAAAAAAAAAAAAAAAAACACAGAATGTCATTAATCTCTAGTGTGTACCTGTATAAGGTGCTCCAGAAAGGTTTATAAATGAGCCACTCGGAAGACAAAATGATTAACTCCCATTTTTGATATTCTTCCAATTTTAAAGTAGATACGTTTGTGCCTCCTCAGAGAATAGGAATCTTTCTATTTTACATTTGCAGACAGAAAATTCATTTAATCCAGGAAAACGGACATATCACTAGAGAATTACCTAACGCAAAAGGAAACACAAATCATGACAGCCAATTCTCTCGTCGAACGCAAGAAGACACGGCAAACCTCCAAAGACTCTCAAGGGAAAAACTCAGAGATTCACGGTCCGACAAAGCCATAAAAAATGCACTCATCCCAGAAACAAAGATAAATCATTATATCCAAAGAAGAAGAAAAAGACAAAACCAATTCCCCCATCGAACGCAAGAGAAAACATAAACCTCCAACCGCGTACACTAAGCCAGATTACCGGGAGGGATCGAAACTGACGCTGGTCCGCGTGCTATCGTCTCGAGGTCCTCCTGGTCGGGCGCGCCAGGGGGTGGCGCGCGAGGAAGCTGAAAACGGCGACGACGAACGTCCCGTGTGGCGTGGCCGTCGTCGTCGTCGTCGTCGGTTCTATCGCGGCGCTGTCCGAAAAATCAAAAATAGCCTGTGTGCCAGTCAGTGCGGCGATGTCGACGGCGAACGACGTTTCGACGGTACGGTTCGGCCGGTGGTGGTGGTGCTGGCGGAGACGAAGGAGGAGTACTACCTGCGGGTCAACGACGATGCCGACGGGATACGCGAAGACGATCGTCCTTCTTGGTGTGCTAGCGGTGTTATCCGCCCTCCTGGGCAACGTGGACGCCCTAGCGAAGACGAAACCGGACGAGCCCAGGCCCAAGGGTGGCCAGAAGGACGCCGAGCCTGTCATCGAGGAAGTCAATGCCAAGCAACTCGAGAGACTACTCAGCGAGAAGGACTTTGTTGCTGTGTACTGGTGTAAGTGCTTGGACATGGTGAATATTCTACTTCCTTTCATGCGATACGTCTTTTCAATCGCGGCCGAACTTACACTTTCGACGAAGGGGGTGGATCAAGATGGTGACTGTAATTCTTCTCGTTGCTGGGTTTCAGAATTGCTTTACGCAATGGTGTTGATATTTGTTAGTATTTCTCGAGGTTCTCAGAGGATTTTATGAATCCTGTTTTCTTCGTTGAGTCTTTATTTTTGGGGGTTGGAAAGGATTTTAGGGAATAATTTGGCAATTACTAGAATAGAAATGTATGCATTCTGCTTGGACACGAATGAAATATGAATTGGTAGACTTTCGAAATTAGGCTCACGTCGAGTACTACAATCTTGGGTATGCAAAGCACGTGTTATCCAGCACGTGCCTCCAACAATACACAAATGCAACCCCAAAAACCTACAGTACAAAATATCCAATTGCTCAAGGTTCTTACAAGCGACGACAATTCTCGAGGAACGAGAAGAACTGGCAGTTGGACGTTAGCGATTTTTGGAAATCACGAATAGCAGGAAATGCAAAACGACGTCCCGCGACACGTGGCTCGATCTTTACGTAACCCGTCTATAGTTCGAGCCCTTTTGCTTCTGTTACAGCCAGCGAATTCTTCGAGTTACACACGCGTCGCGTCCAACCCTCTTCCTCTCTCGCTCTTTTTCGAGACTCTTGCATTCCTCTCGGTTCAGCGACTCTTCTTCTCGGTCCTCTTTCTCCGCCATCCAACTGTTTCCACCTTCTAAAAGAAATCTGGGTTAGAATTCGCCTGCTCGAGGAAAGATTACACCGCTAAATTAAGCAAACTCTCTCAAGCGACGATAACCGTTCTCCAAAATGGCGTTCCTTTTTTCCCCATATTTTCCGCACCGACAGCATTTATCGGACCGTCGAACGCAAAATTTTCTTAGCTGTGAGAAGCCACGTCCACCCTTCTCCTTCTTCTTCCTCGCCTTCTTCAGCGAATTACATAATCCGTGGCCGTAGTGGGTGTCGATGAAAGCCAGAACTGCAGCACGCGATTCGTCATTGAGATGGTTTTGCGTGCAAAAGACGACAAGTGAGACGTCAATACGGGCACGGTTTAATGTACCAAGGCGGGGACGCGCGTTCGCGCGTTATAAATAAATCTCCCGGCAGGAGATTGACGCCTCTGTTTCTCGTTCAAGTCGCTCTCTCGTTCGGAATACGCTTCCACTCGGTTCTCTTCACCCTTCCCGAACTGTCCACCGTGAAGAAACAATAATTACCATTCAGAAGCGTGTATTACTATTTGGACAAGTGAAACATCCATAAAAAGATATGACGATTCGAAGCTAATTTCTCCACCGCAATTTTCATATTTCTGCTTCATTCAGTGTTAGAGAGAATGGTACGATACGTCTATTCGTTAATATACACGTCATGCACGAGGATTGCATTCGCATGACAATTAACAGGTATTAAATTCTCTCCCTTTGCCAAGTGGCTGGTCTACTCTCAGTAGGACAAGCCGTCTCGAGGCAGGCGCGGGCCTTCGTGAACGTCTGCGGGCGTGTAATAATTGGTGCAAGAGGTCAATGTAATTCTATCGAGCTGTGCATTGTTGCTTCTTCAACATCGTCGTTTTCGTCGTATTTTCTCTTGTCCTTTCCTCCGGACGTCGTATTCCTCGATCGTACTTCAACGTCACGTCTAGCAAGATGTCTCGATATTCTTAGGATTAGAGAGACACTGCGTCGAGTCTCGAAGGAATTGTTGATTCTATAAATTTTTGGATACAGCACTGTAAATATAGACACCGAGAGAATATCTTGGCACAATGAGACGGTTATCAGAATATGAACGGATAAATTGTTGGAAGTTTCTAGCACGAAACTGTGAAAATGTGAAATACACGTTGGATGGAATTTTCTCTGTTGCGAAATACGCGCTGTTCGATAGGATCGGACTGGATACGAGGAGGAAAGGTAGCGTTTCATTTCGACACTGTACGAAAGAAGATCGTTTCCGTTGACACATCCGAGAGCAGCACGGAATAACGTAAATTTAGACGAGCCACGAGCA